ACATAATAGCCAATGCTGGTGAGAGTATGATAAGACAGAATCTCTTATACTGCTAGTGGTTCTGTAAACTGGTACAGTTTTTATGGTCAGCAATTTGACAGTATAGATAAGAAGCCTTAAAAATGCTCATTCTATTTTCATCCATGTAAGGATGGAAATAATGGGGAAAGGTAGGAAAATATTTATGTAAAATATGTTCATTACATCATAATATCTGTTTTCATCATCAGCATTAAAGATTTAGTTGAACAACTAAGCCTACTCTGAAGGTAAAGCATTGAAAAGTATTTGATACATCTGGAATTTTTAGAATTAAATGCTCAGGGTTAATGAATAGGATATGCTAAGGAGTTTCCTTGTGGTCCAATGGTTAGGACTCTGTGCTCTCACTGCCAAGGGCCTGGGTTCAATCCCTGGTCAGGGAACTAAGATCCCCCCACGAGCTGCAGAGCATAGCCGAGAATAATAATAAGATACACTAGACTAGTGGTTCTCAACTAGGGGATGTTCAGCAATGTCTGGAGATGTCTTTGTTTCTCACAGCCTGTGGGGAGTGAGATGCTACTGGTATCTAGTGAAATTAGGGCAAAAGTCATAGATACTGGTAAACATCCTACAATGTTTAGGACAGCCCCACAACAAAGAATCATCTGATCCACAATGGCAGCAGTGCTGAGGCGGAGACCGCTAGTACTAGACCCAGGATGTTCTCAGAGTCCCAGTTTCTTGACAAACAATATATGTTCCTATAATTCCACTCCTGGGCATATACCAGGAGAAAAACCATAATTTGAAAAGATACAAGCACCCTAATGTTCATAGCGGCACTATTTACAATGGTCATGACGTGGAAGCAACTTAATGTCCATTGACAGGTGAATGGATAAAGATCATGTGGTACATATATTCAGTGGAATATTACTCAGGCATAAAAAAGAATGAAATAATGCCATTTGGAGCAACATGGATGGACCTAGAGATTATCATACTAAATGAAGTAAGTCAGACAAAGACAAATATGTTGCTTATATGCGGAACCTAAAAAAAAAAAACAAGTGAACTCTCATACAAAACAAATAGATACACAGACATAAAAACAAACATAGTTACCGAAAGGGGAGGGGATAAGGGATAAATTAGAAGATTCAGATTAATATATATATATGTTACAATACATAAAATAGATAACTGACAAAGAACTATTGTATAACATAGGGAAATATACTCAATGTTTTGCAATAAACTTTAAGAGAAAGAATCTGAAAATATATACATATATGTGTGTATATATATATATATGTAAGGAGATATATATATATATATGTAAGGAGATATATATATATATATATATATATGTGTGTGTGTGTGTGTGTGTGTGTATAAGTGAATCAGTTTGTTGTATACCTGAAACCAACACAGCATTGTAAATCAACTATATGTCAATAGGTAAATAAATAAGACTTTAAAAAAAATCCTCTGTCTCTGACCCATGGGCTTGGTGTCCACCACCAGCAACCATGACAGGCCAGGCTAACTTGTTGGGTAAAATCTGAAACCCTTCCCAGTTCTTGATAGTGTTGGTGACAAGGATGGGATATATCAAAGATAAGAGTTTTTTGGAAAACAAAGGATGAGCATTGCATAGGTCAATTAATGGAATTTGCAAGAAGTCCATGGAAATTGATAGTAAACCCAATTGTACAGTTTCTGTTGTAGGCTAGATTGTATGGTCTGCTGTGCAATAAATGATCTCCTGCTTAATCTTGATTTTCTGTTAGTCACTCAGTTGTGCCCGACTCTTTGCAACCCCATGGACTGTCAACTCACCAGGCTCCCCTATCTGTGGGAATCTCCAGGCAAGAATACTGGAGTGGGTTGCCATGCTCTCCTCCAGGGGGGTCTTTCCAACCCAGGGATCTAACCTAGGTCTCCTGCATTGCAGGAAGATTCTTTACTGTCTGAGCCACCAGAGATTGAGTTATAATTGCCTGTAAATGAGGAAAACTTGAGAGGTGGTTGCAGGCCATGTCATTTCAAAGACTCCAAATGCGGCCGTGGTTGCTATAGTATTCTCTTCCTACATTTCTGGCACTTAGCCTCAGGTCCGCCCCTTGTAATGACTGGTACTAATATTTGTCTAGGACAGGCAGAAATTTCCACAGCCTGTCAAACAACAATGATAGCATACGGATAGTGACCATTTGGTTTAATACACTGCTCATCAACTCTCTTTACAGTGGCTCATGGGCCAAAGTGGGGACATCATCAAGTCACTGTAAGTTTATAAAATGCCTTCTCTCTCGTGCCTGACTCAGAAATGAAAGATCTGCGTGAGAGGAGGGAACAACTGGGGAGAGGCGAAGGTACAGCTACCGGAATGGGACACACAGAATATGTGATGATGAACAGAGAACAGCAACCCACCACCTGTGCAAATAACACCTTAGACCTCAGCAGGTCATCCAGGGTGGGGGAGCAAGAACCCTAAGGACCTTTGCCTTTGGAATTGTCCCTGGACCCTTCTTTCGGAATGAAAACATCTTAGCGTGATTCTGCTAAACTCTTGCAAGCATAGTGGTTTAAATCACTGCTGGCTGGGTCTGCCATCCCCTGCCAGATGGCTCTGAACACAGTTTGAAGTTTGACCCCCATTTTCCTTAACTTATCCAAAACATCTATCCGAAATAGCAACAGGTGTCCCAACTCCTGCACCTCCCACACAAAACCCCTGTCCACACCTCTAGCTATCTTCCCCGACCCCATTCCTACAGCCATTGCTCAGTCATTCCCTGGGGTGGAAAAAATGCCACCGCCCTGGTGACATGAACAAACAGGAGAGCTTAGTCTGACTGCAATCAGGCAGTTCCTCCATAAACAAAAGCCAGACCTGACTCTTCAAAGCAGCCTGAGAATGCCAAGATTTAACAGTGGAGAGGCCGTGTTGGTGATACTGCCAACCCGTGTCCTTCGAACAGTAGAGGTCTGAGATGAGGGCTGCCACCGATAGTAAGCCACCCTGTCTTTCCAGTGCTACCATGTGCCTTCCTAGGACTGTATCGCTTGCAAGGAAACCAAGCGTTATCTTGACTTCCTCCCCAAAACATGGTGACTTGCACCTTATAGGTGATTATAAGAGACCTTCAAGTATTTAAGGAACTACCACTAGTAGATCACATAGCCCTCAAATAGCTGAGAGCCCCCAAATAAGCTTCCTTTGATTACCTGGAAGAGCTTCCCAAAGGGATAACTGACTCATTATTTATGCACAATCTGTGGCCAATTATTCCTCCAGTGGAAGTCATCCAATTTGAAAAAAAACAGTATAAAATTTCTCCCTGACTCAGATTACTGGCCAGGGATATTATAGACGGTAGAATCGCTTCTTCCTCTTATGCCATGGCATAGTCTATAGGATTGCTTCTAGGCTTACTAATAAATCCTGCCATGCTTACATTAATGCCCTGGGCCAAGGGGAGAGATAAATAGAGAAATTTATGGAGAGAGCCCCATGACTTTTCTTAACTAAGACCCTGGTAGTTTGGGGAATTTGTTCAATGGGTTGATTTTAAGACCCTGGGGGGTAAAACTGAGGTCATTACTACAGGAAGGCCTCCTCATGATGCTAGATTCCTGATCACAGTAACCTTAATAAGATGCTATATGAGACAAATTGAACAGATTTGTTGCCCAGTCTCTGTCAGTTAATCAGAGCAGCCAGCAGAGTGGCTATTTATGGGAAAAATTCACCAGAAACCAAGATGGTGTCGAAACAATGGGTGTTGCTGAGAGATGATGCTTCATGGATTCCTCACATTTCTGCTGTTTGTCTGGATTCTCTTTTCAAGAGTGTTTGTATAACAAACAATGTCAGAAAATAGAGATATTAATAGTACCCCCACCGACCAAAGCAAAGGCAAAGTAAACAATGTATTTTAGAATAGTTTTAGATTGACAGAAAGGTGGTAAAGATAGCAGAGAATTCCCATAAACCCCACATTCAATTTTCACTACTGTCATCATCTTTCACTGTTACTGGTGGTTTAGTCGCTCAGTCATGTCCAACTCGTGCAACCCCACGTGTATCCTGGCAGGCTCCTCTGTCCATGGGATTTCCCAGGCAAGAATACTGGAGTGGGCTGCCATTTCCTTCTCCAGAGGATCTTCCCTGGTACATTTGTCTAGGTAAGCTTTCGTGCTGTCTAGTCTGAGAGATATGGGTTCTCTAAGTTCAGGATCCTCTTTTGTGATGGAACCCACTGTGTGTTTGGGCATCCAGCTCTGTCTGTCCACATCCATCCTGTAGGAATCGAGGCAGGGGAACTGACATACATATGAGTATGCTCATGCCACTTACTGTGTGGGGAGTAATAAAGTCCTTTTTCACTGACCTAAGAGATTTGTGTCTTATGTCAGCATCCATGAAAATATGGCAGACTACCTTGTTAGCTGGCAAACCAGGGTGAAATCCCAAACCCCTCACATTTTTGACAACCCCCTCTGCACTCCACCAAGGAAATGGCAACCCACTCCTAGTACTCTTGCCTGAAAAATCCCATGGACAGAGACGCCTGGTAGGCTACAGCCCATGGAGTCGCAAAGAGTCGAACCGACTGAGCGACTTCACTTTCACCTTCTGCCCTCCACCAACTCACCTCCTTGAATATGTGGAACAGTTTCCTGTTTGATAAATATATGTTGAACTGAACTAAAATGGGCTAATGATTTATTCGAACGATTGTGTAAGATACATTTGCTGTCAGAGGTCAGGCTGGTATCTGCAGAGAACGTGGTCAAATCAGTCAGTCTTTGTCTATTAATTGAAGGAAAATGAAGATACTCTGCAGGCCCAGGGGAGTAAATCAACTCAAAGGGTAAACAGGAGAGAAAGCGGACTGTTGGGAGAATTGAACGGGTAGGAGCTGAGGTGTGAGGGAAGGGTAGGTCAAGGGATAGAACCCGGTGTCCGGAGGAGGCAGGAAGAGCCCTCAGGTAGCGCCGCCATGCGGTCAGGAGGGCCTACTGCACAGCAAGCCGTCTCAGCCGCGCACATGGACAGGCGATCCAGGAGACACCCAGCGAGGCCCGTGAGTCCAAAAGTACCCTTGCTCTTTTTTTTAATTTTTAGTATTCATTTTTACTGAAATATAGTTGATTTACAGTGTTGTGTTAGTTTCAGATGTACAGCAGAGTGATTCAGTTATACATACATACATATGTATAGCTATTTTTTTCAGATTCTTTTCTGTTACACATTATTACGAAATTTGAGAATTGTCCCCTTCCTAAATAGTAGGTCCTTGTTGGTTATCTATTTTATGTGTAGTAGTGTGTATATGTCACTCCCATAATTCTCATTTATCTGCCCTCTCCCTTTTCTGTTTGGCGACCATAAGCTTTTTTCCTATGTATGTGGGTCTATTTATGCATTGTATGAAGTTCATTTTTTTCTATTCCATGTATAAGTGAGGTCATATGACATTTGTCTTTCTCTGTCTGGCTTACTTCACACTTCACTTAGTATGATAATCTCTAGGTCCATCCATGTTACTCCATGTGGCATGATTTCATTCTTTTTTATGACTGAGTAATATTTCATTGTATAGATAGAATCACATCTTCTTTATCCATTCCTCTGTCAGTGGATATTTAGATTGCTTAGATATCTTGGCTCTTGGTCTTAAGTTCAGCAGTAGGATTTCAGTTCTGAGCTGTACTGCTCCCAAAGGCGTGTGTGATATGGGACCTGAATTCCAAAGTAGAAAACCTCAAGCAGGCTGTGAATGGCTTTGAAAAATACAATTAATATCATAATATCACTTTGTTGGGGTGGGGAGGCACAGTGCTCTTAATATGAATTAGCATCTGACAAAATGTTCTTGGTGTAACTGCTCCTCTTGGGGGCCATGAAAGTTTTGTGACTGTGAGGGGTGAGCATGAGTTGGATAAAGAGAAGGAGGATTGTGAAGTACAATCTTAGAGGGACTGGATATCAGGCAGGGATTCCATGTAACGAGTAAGTTGGACCTGGGTCTACCACTCGCTATTATGTATGATTCTGGGTGTTCTCTATATACCCCTCAATGGGCTTATTAGGAGAATTAAATGAGATAATGCATTTAAGCAAGTCCCTGGCATCCAGTGACTTTCCACAAACTGCTAGCTATAATGATCATTATTATTCATGAAGAGAACTGGAACATAAACAAGGGGGTTGAATGTCAAAAAGGCTGCAGCCAAGTTACTGAAACAGTTACCAGTCAGGCACAGGGTGATGGTCATTAATCTCAGCATGGGGAGCTGGAGGGCCTCATATCTGCTCCCTGCTTGTTGGTCTCATAGTTGAGAACAGAGCCCTGAGACTCCAGAAAACACTTGCCTCATAAACTGCACATGTGACTTCACTGATTGTCCGGTGGTTAAGATTCCTCCTTCCAATTGAGGGGAAGGGGTTGAGGGTTCCTTCCCTGGTCAGGGATCTAAGAGCTAAGATCCCATATGTGATTGTAGACAAAAAAAAAAACCAGAACATAAACAACAGAAGCAATGTTGTAACAAATTCAATAAAGACTTCTAAAATGGTCCACCTTAAAAACCCTCTTTAAGAAGAAGCTGAACACAAGCTGTGTCTTAAGAAGCAAGTGAATGATCATAACCTATTTTCTACTCATACAAACACTTAAAACTTGTAAAATTTTCACCTTCAAAAGTCAAAGTATCAAAAGCAAAAAAAAAAAGAAAACAGTTAAAGTGTCACTAAATACCAGATTGCATCAAAACAATCCCTGACATTAGTAATACCCTCAATGCATCGGTTTACTTACAGAGCACATAGATATAGCTAATACTGTAGGAAGGGATATGAGGTGATCTTACTGGTTAAAAAAAATAGTAAAGAAAAATCAAATCTAGTTTGTGTGATACCACCAAATCCACCATGGCATACCAAATCTTTGTTTTTCTTTCCTGACTCCACTACCTCATGATCCTGGAAAATATATCAAGTTCCTAACCTGATTTTGAAATTAGACTTGCTACATATAAATTTTGTAATGATTATGATCATTATATACATTTTCCAACTAGGCTTTACAAGTATCCAATCCAAAATGGTGTGTCAATACAAGTGCATTCTTTGAGAAAATAAAATATGTAACATGTACACATGTACACCCCAAGCAAAGGGAGTGACTACACCTCAGAAGTAAGAGGTTGAATTAACAGAGGGGTATAAATACTAATGGGATATAAATGAAAATGGCATTGGTAACATGAAAGCAAGCATGAGTGAAGCTGTTGGTTGAAATTTAGACTCCATTTCTTCACTTTAGACAGTTAAATAAAAGCTGTAGCAAACGAATATTTTCTTTCCATAAACATAAATTTTTCAATCAAGGAGGAAAGAATAGTCTCTCCCAGGACCTGTAAGTTTGCGGGGTATGATAAATTATAAAGAAATTTAAGGTGGGAAAATTGGGGTTGAGGAGAGATAAACATAAGTCAATGTTTTCCATTCATTATTAATATGCACCCTGATAATTCTATGTGATTGTGCTCTAAAATAAACAGGTATCTTCAAACTTGGAAACACTGTTTAATTGCTAAGACATACTCACCTTTTCCTCATCAGTCAATTTTAGGCCCAGAAGGGAAATGTTGCATAAGTTTCCTTTGTACACATGACTCTTTGATAAGAACTGTGGATCCTAGCAACCACCTTACAATATCAGAAAGTAAACTGCTAGTTTACTTTGATGATTCATTAAATATTTTTTTTTTAATTTTATTTACTTACCACAACCACACCCTTAGAGCCATTCTGCCTAACACGAATAGAGCTTGTCCTGGAAATTCCTAAGACTCTTGTGGAAAATTCAAATAACTGAGACCCATGAAAAACATTGAATATGAATTCTGGGAGCTGTGGTCTGAGTATCTGCATTTAATAGAACCTCTAGCTCAGTTGGTAAAGAATCTGCCTGCAGTGCAGGAGACCCCAGTTTGATCCCTGGGTCAGGAAGATCCCCTGGAGAAGGAAATGGCAAGCCAATTTCCTTAACTCCAACGGCAACTCCAGTATCCTTAACTGGAAAATCCTGGCAGGCTTCAGTCCATGTGGTCGCAAAGAGTCGGGCACGACTGAGCGACTAACACTTCCAACACTATATTTACTAAATCATTGAACTAGAACCCATTAGCAGTCCTTCTTCTGAACCTCTATGGCCTGGCTCTGTTACTCATTTAAGACTTAGGGTGTACTACTATATAATTTTTATGTAACCAATATGTTTAGGTTCCTACTACGAGTCCGACACTGTACTATGTAAACATTTCTTTGTAATCCCAGAGGCTGATAACGTACCCCCCATTCAACTCCTTTCGCCTTTCTAACAGAATTCAGTTTTGTTTAGGGACCCAACCATATAGACAACGGTTTCAGTGGAAATGATGAGAAATGGGTCTCTTGCCTCTGAAGGCAATGCCATTTCCCTCACCAATGACTGTCTTGTGAATTTGTAAGTGACCTAATTCTGGCCAGTGAGCATGAGGGGAAGTTGGCTGGAAGCTTCTGTGAGGTTTCCTCACTGTTAGAGAAGAAAGTGACAGGAAAAGGGGGTCACTCTTTTCCTCCAAAGAGTTACAATGGACTTCTGATGTGATACCTGGAACTGCTACAGTTATCTTGTTACTTCCCTGAGGAAAAAGCTTCCACTGAGTATAGCAGGGAAAAGAAATGGAAAAAACTTTGAGCCACCAATCAACCAAGCATTGTTGGTTGTCTACCTCAGTGTTCCAATTTATTGTTTTTTTTTTTTCATTTATTTTTATTAGTTGGAGGCTAATTACTTTACATCATTGCAGTGGTTTTTGTCATACATTGAAATGAATTAGCCATGGATTTACATGTATTCCCCATCCCGGTCCCCCCTCCCACCTCCCTCTCCACCCGATCCCTCTGGGTCTTCCCAGTGCACCAGGCCCGAGCACTTGTCTCATGCACCCAACCTGAGCTGGTGATCTGTTTCACCCTAGATAATATACATGTTTCGATGCTGTTCTCTTGAAACATCCCACCCTCGCCTTCTCCCAGAGTCCACAAGTCTGTTCTATACATCTGAGTCTCTTTTTCTGTTTTGCATATAGGGTTATTGTTACCATCTTTCTAAATTCCATATATATGTGTTAGTATACTGTAATGGTCTTTATCTTTCTGGCTTACTTCGCTCTGTATAATGGGCTCCAGTTTCATCCATCTCATTAGAACTGATTCAAATGAATTCTTTTTAATGGCTGAGTAATATTCCATGGTGTATATGTACCACAGCTTCCTCATCCATTCGTCTGCTGATGGGCATCTAGGTTGCTTCCATGTCCTGGCTATTATAAACAGTGCTGCGATGAACATTGGGGTGCACGTGTCTCTTTCAGATCTGGTTTCCTCGGTGTGTATGCCCAGGAGTGGGGTTGCTGGGTCATATGACAGTTCTATTTCCAGCTTTTTAAGAAATCTCCACACTGTTTTCCATAGTGGCTGTACTTAAAAGCTTTTGCACAACAAAGGAAACTATAAGCAAGGTGAAAAGACAGCCCTCAGATTGGGAGAAAATAATAGCAAACGAAGCAACAGACAAAGGATTAATCTCAAAAATATACAATTTATTGTTAACACTGGTTTGAGTATGTGCTTCTGTACTTGCAGCCAAAGCATCCTCACTGATGCTCAGAAAATGTCAGTTCACGATGATGTTGACAATGATGTGAAAAATCAAAATGGTGGACTTGCTATATTCCAAGATGGTGCCTCCGGCCGTGATCAGATTTATTTATGAATAAGAACACAAGTGTAAGACCTATAGTCTTTGCTCCACAGAGCTACTGTCTTTCTCCTAAGCCCCCGTGACCTCCTTATGAGCCATCCACAAACAGGAAGGTAAGGAGAATGAGAGTGGACCCCACAAATATCTGGTGGCCGACACTGTCCTCTTCTTTTTTTATCTCCTGCCACACTCTGCCACATGTGGGCTCCTCCCTGACCAGGGATTGAGCCTGCACCTGCTGCAGTGGAAGCACAGAGGAACCACTGGAC